GGGCACCATCCCCGCTGAGTCGGTGGAGTTGGCGGGGATCAGGGGTCTGCAGCTATTCGGTGTGTTCTCCGACTCTTTGTGGCCAGATGAAGAGCTGCTCCCCGGCTGCTCACAACAGGTTAATCATTTCATTAAGGCAAATGTCTGGAATTAGAAGGAGCGAGTTGCTGGGCTCTGCCTACTCCGTCTGTCTCGTGGGTCGGGGCAGACGTTGCAGGGTGAGCTCTGGGAGCTCCTTCGCAAGAGCAGGTAAGAGGAAGTTGTGCTGCAGCCACCGCAGCTCCTGCGTGGGGCACTGGGCATCGCAGCTTCCAGCCCTCCTGAAATGGGGGGTCGTCCTGCACCCCAGTGGGCACCAGGACAGCTCGTGCAGACGGGTGTGAGGGAGGAGGAGGAGGGCAGCTGTGGCTGCTCGCAGGTGCAGTAGGTGCTGTGGAATGAGCTACCTAGGTGTGATGCCTTTGGCAGTGCAGCTGCGAAGCTCCAAATGTCGGGTCCCCTGTTGCCTGGGGTTTTCCTGCTGCAGAGTGTCCCCGGGTCGCTCCCGTGGCTGTAGCTGTGCCGGGAGCAGGACAGAGCAGGGCTCAGGCCGCGGTGACAGAGCAGTGGAGCGCTGGTGTCCTGGGTGCTTCCCGGAAAGTCTGGCTGTGTGTGGCTGCACACGAGGTCTCTGAGCCACCCGGGGCTGCAGAGGGGACTTGGGTGCACGGACAGTGCCCTGCACCTCCTGCCTCTCCCTGGGAAGCACTTCTCTGTGTCTCAGGACTAGGACAGGAGGACAGCTTTTGCTGTAAGCCTTCTATAGCCCGATTGCTCTTGTCATCTCATTCACTGTGAAAAAGGTTGTCTGTTCTGGTGGGAAAACTGGTAACACCGAAAAAGCTGGGAATTCAGTTACTTTAGAGGTAGGGAAGAGTTCTGGAAGTCTCTAATGTGCCTCACGAGGAAATGGGATACATTCCTAATCAGGATTCTGCAGTCAGCTCCTGAGGGCTGGATTCGGTGTGATGTGAAAGGGCAAATCATTGTTGGATGGCAGATCAGCCTCTGTGAACGGACATGATCCATGCATTGTAGCTCCCAGTGCTGGTGTGGTGTCCATCATGCTTTCATACAGGATTTCCTTGGAAGCTGAAGCTCCTCCTTGCTGTGAGGCCTTCAGGGGCTCATCCACACTTTTAAATTATTCTGATTTTCTGCTTGGTTCTCACATAGAAATATTTATTATTTATGACTTGGAATTTACAAAGTATTGTATAAATAGTCAATGTCAGTGCAAATTGAGCATTTTCTGGCCCTCACGGAGTTTCTGAGCAGGGGGACCCACATGCTGGTGAAGCTGGAGATGCTACTTTTATCCTTTTCCTATGGAAAGGTGCTGTTCTCAGTGGCTCCAAGGAGGCAGACCATTTGTGTCTTATGGGTAGTGGGATTTGAGGGGACAGGAGCCCAGCTGGATGGGGGCAGAGTGTGGGGCAATCCCAATCTCCTCTGCCCAGAGGTTTGTGCACATACAAGTGCTTGAAGGTCAGTGTGCATGGAAGAGCTGAGCTGGTTTGTGGGTTCCCAGATAAGTCTGTGGTAATGCAGGATGGTAGCAGGGGGACATAGGGGCTCCCAGAAGGTGTCCTATGGGGCTGGGGGCTCGTCCTTGCACTGCCTGTGGCACACTCTGCCCTTCCTTACCCCACTCCTGAGCAGAAGTCTCCGGACTTTAATTAGCAGCAGAAGGAAGAGAGAGTTTATGAGGCTCAGTCTGAATGTGTTGGTATGGCTGAAGGCACCTGGGACTCAGCTTTCCGCGTGCTTCCCCACCACAAAAATAACTCCACAAAAAAGCAGTGAGATGTGAAGTGGCCACATAAACCCTTGCACCGGGGCACACGCGTCGGTCTAAACCACCCTCTCCCCCTGGTTCCCCTCTGAGCTGAGCCCCGATACCCATCTCTGAACTGCCGGCGATAAACTGAGATCCTGACGGCAGGTTGGCTTGTTTTCTGTGTCCTCTACCTTTGCAGCTGCACCACAGCTCTTGCACAACCCTTGCCTCCCTGGGCCTCACTCCACTGCAGCTCAAAAATAGTATTTCCTCCTTTTCTGCATGAGATCTTTTATTTGTGCAGCTCTGCTTCTGGCACCTGCGTGATCACCCCTCTTCTGTCAGACAAACCACACCAGGTTCACTCACATCCTCTGGGTAACGGCTGCCCCATCCCTGCCCTCCACCCTGTGTCGGGGGGACGTGTCCGGCCCACTCGTGGCTCTCGGTGCTGCTTCCTCTCCACACACGGAGCTGGAAGTGACAGTGTTCGCCGTGCAGCTGAGGGGGCTCAGAGGAGACCGCCTGGCTCGCCCTGACTTGGGTCGCTCTGTGCCTGTGGCAGACCTGGTGACACAGCATGGCCCCACATCACTGGGTCATTGTTTTCCCTGCTGACTCGGCATCCTGGCTGCGCAAATTTTCTGCTGGAGTTGCAGATTGTTTCCCATTTCCTGGGAGTGTGCTCAGGCTCTCTCTAGTGTGCAGTCTGCTTCGGGATTATTTTTTGCCACGGTTCCCAGGAATCTGGTGTCTCACGTCAGATCCTTTGTGGCTACTTTGTCCTCTCTTGTGGGGGTTGGTGGCTCTTGGAGCTGGGGGTGATGGGTTGGTAGGTTGTCCTTTCCCTCTGGTGAGCTTGGATGTGGCTGGGTGACTGCACTGGCATCCCAGTGTGTCTGGCTCCAATGGGTTGGGGTGGCTGTGTGTGCAGGAACATCTCTCTGGGGATCTGGGGCTGTGGGAGCAGAGCACCCACCTCTTCCTGCCTGTCCCTGCTCTGCAGGGTGATGCCAGAAGGAGCCCGGCATGCCGTACCTGGATCGACAGAACCGTATCTGCGGCTTCCTGGACATTGAAGAAAATGAGACCTGCGGCAAGTTTCTGCGGAGGTATTTTATCCTGGACACCCAGGCCAACCATCTCCTGTGGTACATGGACAACCCACAGGTAGGTTCCCATGCTGGACACGTCCGTGGAATTTGTCAGTGAGTCCACAGGCACATCCTGGTGTCCCTGGTGGAGGTGTCTCCTCCGGGTCCCTGAAGGACACTGCCTGGTGTGTTGGTTGTCTGTCAGGGTCTCACACGGCTGAGTGTGGCTACGACCAGGCTCCAGCCCCTCTGTGACCTCTGTGGTTTCCAGCATTGTCCCAAGGCAGGGGTGGCACTGGGGTGCAGCACAGCTGGCCTGGTCCCATTGCTGGGGAGGTCTGGGCTGAACCAGGTGCACAGAGAGGGAAGTGGCCAAGGCCAGTGTGACTGTGGCTGCTGCTGCATGACCCCAAGGACAAGAACGCCAGCCTGGCTCGCCCCTGTGCCTTCTCTCTGTCATTTACCTCCCATTGCTCACTCTGTGTGTTGCAGAATCTGGCCATTGGAGCAGGTGCTGTCGGATCTCTGCAGCTGACCTATATCTCCAAGGTAATGTCAGGGTGGGGCGGAGGGAAGGTGAATGTTCTGTCTTTCCTTTATCCATGCAGTGTTCCCAGGAGAGGTGATGGCTTGCCCTGGCAGCACCTGAGGCCAGGTCCTGGTCCTGCCTGAGCCCATGACAACCTCCCTGGGATGGAGCCTGGATGGGACTGCAGGAAGCAGGGAGTGTCCCCACAGCATGGGGATCTCAGCACTGGGACCATGTTCACCTTCCCATGTGGACCAGCACAGGATAGGATGCAAGGTCAGGGTGCAAGAGGAAGAGGAACTGCTGTGCCATGAGGAAGGACATGGGATGGCCAGGACTGAGCAGAGACAGGAGCTTGGTGTCAGTGTGAGCTGGACACAGAGCTGGCAATTGGCTCAGTGGTGCACCAGGAGCTCAAAAGGGCAGCACCCTGAAGAATGAGACCTTCTGGAAACTCACTTTTGTGTGTCTTAACACACAGGTGTTACCTGAGAAGACAGGAATAGTGCAGGAAGTGCCAACTGTTGCACATGGAGCTGTGAGTGCAGAGAGTGGAGCTGCCACCCACAAGTGGCCCCTTGGCTGCTGAGAGGGGACTGTGGGGCTCGTGGCTGCCACGCTGGGCTCAGCTCAGCTTTATCCTGGAG